GTCTCTTTACTAAATTAGTTTTATAAAGCTTGAAGTTGTTAGAATCTTTACATAACTGACAAATGATTCTTCTCAAAAGTTCAAAATTTTCAGTCCTGGTGTGTTTTTCCGAAAGGTAAGGTTTGGCGTTGTCATTGGGCTGCATAAGAAACCATTTTGCCAAAATCATTGAATAATGATTTTATTTCACTCAGTAATAAAGAATATCTCTATTTCGACTCAAAATATGTATACTGAATCATTCTATAACCACAAGATGCTCTATAAATTTTCGTGCAAATCTTGAAATTTTTGAGATGCTTACATAAAAATTTGTAAACGTTGAATATCAGATCAATTATTTGGAATTTTTTTTTGATGTGTTTTGAAGACTTTCGGTTTGATGTTGCTTTATTAAAAACTAAAAATTATTTTTTTTCCCCACGTGAGTTATATCAATTTTAAATTTCCTGTTTTATTAAATTGGTTTGCGGGTAATAATATAGGGAAAAAAAATGACTCCTTTTGATCGACTTTCAACTACTTAAACATAGTGTAATTTCTAAAGTACATTTATTGAATTTCGGTTTTTGGCACATGCTAATATGCCAAATATAATAATTAATCAACTAAGGCTTTTTAAAAAAACGTTTTTTAGAATGTAGAGTTTTAAATAAAATTAATAAGGAAACTAAAACTTTGAAAATCAAATTTTAAGCATTTTTTTTTATTATAAATTTTAGGAACCCTAAAAACTTAATGCACACCAGTACATTGTAACTATGGGTCCCTTCTACCACAACCTTTCCAAGTATTCGTATATCTTTAATTTGGGCTTCATTTTTATTTAAGTAAGGTTTGGTGGAACAATCAACAAAGTTCTTTGTTCATTTTTTAAAAAACCTTTTTCCTTTTTCCCCCCCCCCCCGGGTTTCCCAATATCCCATGGTTACCCTACTGAAAAGGTTGGTTTAATGGGTTTTTGGTGCCGTTTAGTTTCCTCTCAAAAGATAAGTAATTTTTGCATTAAAAACTGGATGTGTTTTTGGAGGGGGTTTTTTGATGCTGGTGGGGGCTCTTGATCCAAGGAAGTGAAATCTAAATAATGAAAAAGTTCTTTTGAAATTAGAAATTTGAATTTAAAAATTTATGGAAATATATTGAAATTTGCTAAAATTGGGTTTAACGTTTAATAACAGAAAAAATTTCCCACTGGTGTTTAAAAATCAGTATAGAAAAGAAATTCATTTTTAATATTTTTATAATTGCGGGTAAGAAAATTTTTTGGTAAAAAAGTTGTAATACGAACAAATTTGGAAGTTTTAAAACAGTTTAATTTGAAAAAAAAAAAAACACTGTAAGAAATCCGTGTCTCAAGAGTCAATTGTTTTTTCTTTTTAAATTTTATTAAGTTTTTCCATTTCTTTTTCTTTAAACCTAGAACCCGCCCAAAATTTTTTTTTAAGGTTTTCCATTTGACACAGGGGTTGAGGGCAAATAAGGGGGCACAGGAGTGTAAATAAAAAAAAAAAAAAATTTTTTTAAAAAAATTTATTTTAAATAAATTAAATTAATTTTAATGGTCGAAATTAAACCCCCGTTATTTCCCGGGTACCGGGGTTTCAAAATGTGCCATTTGCACTTAAAAACAGTGGACCTCCATTTGCAGCGCGGTTTTTTATTTCAAGTAGCAAAATTTTCTTAACGAGGGGGGCCCCCAAGGGGAGGTTCCTTGCGCGGGGAGGGCCTTCCCTTTTTGATCGGGGAATTTGACTCTTTGGGTTTGTTGGGTATTTTTATTGAAACTTGGCAATGTAGAGGGAAAAGATGCTTCTTAACGTCACCAAAAATTAAAAATGGGGCCATAAAAATGGAGCCCTTCTCAGTCTTAGGGGCCCTTAGTGGTTTTTTCATATGATTTTTATGGGTATTCTCTTTTTTTTTTGCTCTTTTTGTTTAAATGGAAGATATTTTAAGAAATAGATATGATTTTATTGGTTTACCGACGAAAATATTGAAATTGAACTCAAAGAGCAAAAATGTTGTTTCCCTTTAGCGATTTAAAGAGTAAAAAAGATCACTGTCCCAAAGCTAAAAAGGGGTGACATTATTTTATCAATTTTTACAATATGGACCTGCATAACAGTACTCTTCTTTTTTCGTGGAATAAAAATTAAAAATTTTTTTATTGTAAAATAAAATACATAAAATAAAAAATAATAATATAAAATAAAATATAATACGTATAATAATAATGTATTAAAAATAATTGAGGGGTTTAAAAAGGCCGTCACTAATGGCAGTGTTTTCCCAAAATGCGCGAGCTTTTGGGCCGCCCCCACCTACACATACATTTTTTTCATTCTAAAATTATATACGGGTTTTTTAATTTATTGTTATTATGTCTATTAGAGTTTTTTTGATAGAAAATAAGCCATAGTTGATAGCGAATTATTAAAGGGAGTTTTTTGTCTGCCCCAGACAAACTCCATCTGCCCCGACCCCCGCGATACCACTACATAAATACATATTTATTCGTTTAGAGATATTTTAGGTTCTGTTTATATTGTTGCATAATAGTAATTGTGATAAATAAATTTACTCTGCCAGCGGAAAATCCAGATGGAGCAAAATCCAGAAAGGGTTAAATCGTAAGAGGGGTACTGATTGTAAAAAAAAAGGTGAACTGTGTGCCCCTTTGTTGGGAAAGTGGGTCAGGTTTTTGTGTGTTCGGTTTACACCCAAGACACCCAGGGTCAATTCCTTGGCCGAAAACATATGGGGAAGTCTTAAAATGTTGCCCATTTCACTTTTCAGTCAACAGATCCCTTGGGTTTTTATGACTTATGTGGGGCCCCCCCTGAGGGGTAGTATATTTTACTCCAGGCTTTTAAATAAGCTAAAAAAAAGCTCTTTGCCCTTTAACTGATTGTATTCCCAAAAAGCACAAACCCCCTTTCCTTTGGGAATTTGTGATATTTTAATGAAAACCCGTGAAAAGATGTTCGCTTGTCTGTGAAGGATTCTTACCAAGAAAATTTTGGGTTTTTATTCCCAAGCAGTTTTACATCGGGATTTTTCCCCTTTTTCCCCCGAATTATTTTTTTTTTCCCTTTTTAGGGATCTAGCTATTTTGAGGGCATAAAGATCGTCCCCATATTAAATAGTTTCGTTTTTTACACATTGTAACACCTTTGGTTTCGGATCTTGTAG